GTAGATCGATTGAACGAACCACGTTAAATCTTTGTGTCTTTAAGTATATTTTTCGTTGCCTTCTTACTCGTGGTCTTTCGAGGTTTGCTTTGCTCGCTTCCGCATTTACACCTACTCATTTCCGACCCTAACAAGAATCAGAAAGGAGCAAATGTTTACTTTAATAGAACTTTGATTAGACAAACAACGAAAAATGGGGTAGGGGCAGGCGACCATGGCGCACTAAGTGGCACGGGGCGCCAGCCCATAACCTACAGAAGACATTTTCTGGCGCGCCAGCCCCCTGTCCAAAAATCCCAACGAATTTTCTTTCTCATTTTTAACCCTTATTCGCTTATTGTTTCTTCCCAACTCACTTAGATTCGAATATCCAAAATAACTACACAAAAATCTACTCAAAACAACCCTCAAATTATTAACATTCATCTCAAGGATTCATCATAACCTAAATAATCAAGATTCACTAGTGAAACTTCAAGAAACTCATCAAGAATTCAGATATTTCAACCTCAAGAATAAAATTGCATTAAAATCACATGATCTGCGTGTCGGTGAACAAACCCAACACTATAAGAACTCACATACCTCTTAGGGATCAAACCCTTGGTAAAATTCCTCGAAAATCCTCCAAAACTTTGACGAACACCTTGAACCTCTCCTATTTTCTCGTCTTGAACTCCTCTCAAAACCCTTAGCGTAATTTAGGATTATAAAAACTGAATCTAATCTGTTTAGCCCATAAAACCTTACTAAAAATGTTTTAAGCTAAAGGGGTAAGGAAAACACCAAAATACCCCTCATGAATTCAGGTAACTTTCCTTAATTGGATATGCTGATTTCAAACAGGCATATCTCCCTCATCCGAACTCAAAACATAGCAAACTTAGTGATCTTGGAAAGAGGATTTAAAGATCTTTCATTTGATATCCTATGGGTCACCTAACTCATCAACTTAATCTTAACTTGAACAAATCACAATTTAGCTCTTTCCAAATTAGTTCTTTCTAATTGTAGCTCTTTTTAAGGCGAAATGCTACAATGCTGATATATTTAAACTCTATTTTTGCTTCTAATAGTTAGTAGAATTCTAGAGAATCAAATTACTTTAGGCATGATTATTGATCAACACCACTTAAGTTTCTCAATTTTAATATTATTTATCATATATTTATTTTATTTATAGAAAAAAATAAAAAATAATTTAATCGACACCATTAAATTTATCATATAGTTTTTTAAAACTCAACAAGATGATTTAAAATTATTTAATTAATATCACTTAAAAATAATTTTGTGAACAAATATTGTGCCCCGTGCACTGCGCATGTTCTTCGCATATCATATGTTATAATAAGTGGGAAGATTTTAAGTTTAAAGTTAGATTAAAAATGTCCTTCACTAATTTTTTTCGTTAAAAAGTATTTTACTAATTTTTAAAACTAAAACAATAATGACCAATTAAACTAGACTAAATACATGATTAGATATTACAACTTATTATTTTCCATTTCTTAATGAATTTGATTGTTAAAACTTTTTAGCTTCTACTATTAAACACATTCATGCACAAACCTTTCATGTACTTAATTTCTCCCTTTATAAATTGGTTAAAAAATATTAATCCACCACACTTTGTTTTCATCATCTAATAGTTCTTCTGTAAGGAGTACTTTTTATTGGTCACTATTTTTCTTATTGATTTGTGCCTTCGTTTTATTTTTTATTTTCATGGTTGTTGGAGAAACACATAATCTAATAGTTCTTGTAATATTTTTTTATTGGTCACTATTTTCCTTATTGGTTTGTGTCCTTCAATCATTTTTTATTTTTAATGATTGTTGGAGTATTTATATCCCAAGAAATTTCAGCCTTGGGGCTTAGTTCTAGCCTTACAAGTTGCTCATCACTCACCAAAAAAAATGTTGATATTTGAGTTCTAGGCAAAAAGTAAACACTAAAAAAAGTTTATGTTATATGCACAGAAAGACATACAGGAGTATGTCAGACAATGTCGACCAATTTTATATCTTGGGCCTATATAAATTATAACAGTAACAGCGGTTAAACGTGCAAGGCACGTTTCCAGAACTAGTATATATGAAAGTGGGAAGCTCCAATATTCAAAGTTGAATTACCATTTTGCCCCTAGACTAAATAAAAATATTATAAAACATATAAATAATAAAATATTAAGAGTTATTACCAGTAATTTAACTATATTTAATTGATAGAAATCTTTCATCTCCCCATTCATTAACATAATACATATTCCTTGAACTTAATTTACAATCATACTATTTCATGTCACACATTAACTATTTTCTCACTTAAGCTTTCAAAAGTTATATGAACTTTTCATATTTCTTGTCAAATAGAATTGGAGTTATATATAGTGCATGTGAAGTGATTTTCTATAACTCACGTCGCATTAATCTTTCATCTTTAAGCTTTATATAAAACATAGATTAGCAACTGTATGCCATAAAAGTATACATATATTGTTGATTGGTAACCATTTTATTCCTCTTATGCTCATTTTAGTTCACAACAATATATGTTTAATATATGAAGATTTCCTTGAGTTTGCTAACTAATTCTTATGTATTTCTCTATATTTCATATTTTATTTGACAATTGTGGGCTCTTCACTTCTCATCATCATGTACATAATGGATATGCTATTTACAACTCTCTTTTTTATCAATTTTATTATTTTACATACATAAAATATCGTTTTTAGAAAACGTGATATTCGAATAAGATTTTTGTGATTTGAGAAATTGTCGGTATAGCTTTTAGTATATTTAGGTCTTATATTTTTTAACATCTTTTAACTTTTTGTATCAAGTCCCTTATTCTTTACTAAGGATCGATTCTTATTATATTTCGTAATGCAATCATACTTAAACAATACAAGTAATACTCTTATGTAAAATTTTCATATTAAAGAAAATGTTCTTGAATAGAGAGATTGATTCTTATTATATTTCTTAATACGATTATATTTCAACCATCCAAATAATATTCTTATGTTAAAGAAATCCTAATCTTGAATCAAAGAAAGGATATATGTAGGTGTAATGATAATTAATATATATTCATTCAATTTTTTTATGTCAATATAATTAATTATCTTCGTCATATTATCATTACTACTTTTTTACTAGCTATATACCATATAATTGACAATGATATTCTAGCCATATTAAAGAAGACATATATTGATCAACTTTTGTTCAACATATACGAAATGTTATTTTCATTCGACAACAACTTCTTGTTATGCTTACGACTATAAGAGGTGGAATTTTCAATATCTGAAAGTCATCACATAAGTTTTGATATGCGAAGCATTTGAAAACATAGCCAACCTCGCTGATGTTCACATTTAAATTATTAGGTGTTCTTATCAAAAAAATAAACATGAAAAGTGAATTAATATTTTAAATTCCAACAATTTCTATTTTATAGTTCATTTTTTAAAATATAAAAAAATTAAAATAATAATAATATGGGACAAACGTGAAAAGCACGTTATTCGTTTATTTGCACTCTTTCTTCTCTTCATTTCTCACTTTTCTTTGAAGAAAAATTAAAAGAAAAAAAAATGTTAATGATGTGACACAAATTGAAGAATGCACTCTCATTCAAGCCTAAGGTTAACAATTTCCAGAGTGAAACATACCATTGCTATTCCTCCGTCTTTTTCCTCCTTGTATTGTTTTCCCAGTTCCACCACACGATCATTCAAGGTCCATTTTTTATTTTCTCCTATATTTTAATATTTGTTTTGCTATGTTCTGTATCCTCCCTTTTTTGCTAGAAATTCTCCATCCTTGTTCCCCTTCTTATTTTGTGACAACCGCTAGATTGTTTTATCATTCATTAGAAGTTGCAATTGACGAAAAACCAACAAAAAATTGGGTATGAATTGTCTTAACTAGACAAGTTGCACTAAAACGAATATATCTCTTTTATTCGAACTTGAATTTAACAAATTCAACCCCAAACTATGTGAATTTTCTGCAACTGTATGTAATTAATTATTTTCTGTAATATTTCCAATAATATATTGATGTTGCTCTTTCTTTTATTGTTGGGTTGTGTCCATAATCGAAGCATATTTCTTTCATTTGCCAACAAACTTGTTTTTTAAAACACACTGGAGGAACATTGTTGGAATTACACTCAACCTTTTATTGGAATTGCTCAAGCATTTATTCTATCTAGTCAAATTTGCTTCTGCGACTTAATTTCTTGGGAATGCTCAAGCATTTATTATATTGTACATGTGTAATAAGCTTCAACAAATTGGGGAAATGCATTAAAATTAAGCTATTCAAACTATCTGAAAATCTACAAAATGTATTCTGAACTCATGAAAAATATTTTCTACCGTCAAATGTCAATATTAGTTGTTCACTATTTTAAAAATATTTTGTCAATAGTATTTATTTAATTTAAAAAATAAGGAGATAATTTATTTTTTGTATTTATTTAAATCTTGGTAGAGAAAATTAGCAATTAAGTCATAATATCTAACATATTTAGTCAAAATAACTACACTTAAAAATATTTATTTAAAATATGAGAATGACAATATTTTAGAAAATAATATGTATTCAAATTTGAGTTTTAAGACAAGTTTCTTTTTATTATTAATATTTTTTATTTTATAAAATATAAATATCAAATATAGTAATATAAGCCAATTAGGATTCTACTTTTATTATATCCATTAATTTACAATTTTCTTTCCTTACTAAATGAAATTACTATATCTTTTATCATTTATAATAGTAGTGAAGCAAATTGAAAGAATCCATCATTGATACAATTTAAAGAGAAACTATTACCAATCATCAAAATTTCTTTGTTTTCTTTCTTAATAGAGTTAAGTGAATTCTTGCTCCTCTTTTTTTGGAATTTCACTTCTCCCGATTAATCTAATACCCAATAACCTTTTCTCTTCACCTTTCACGTTTCTACGCCCACCTTTCATGTTCTAGCCCTTTTTCCATGTTTCTAGATCTCTTTCTTGAAGGTTTTCACAAATTTTTCATCAAAATACATATTTTAATTCAAGAAATTTTCTCTATCGTTAAATGAAATCTCTTTATCAATTAAAGTTGATTTCTCGATTGGCAAGGTAATTTCCATTATTTATTTTGATTTGATGTTTAAGATCACCGATTATGGTATGTATTTCAGATTCTATGTCTTACGAATTTTAATATCACTGTTTATGATTTATATTTCGCATTGCACATATTACAGATTTTTCGTTGCATTTTTTTATTTTTATGCAAGTTTGTTTACATAATCATTTAATATTTATACATCTCAGCTTTTTAATCGATTAAATATTTTTTTCAATTTTTTTATTTAGTTTTTAATATTTCAGATTTATTAGAATCTATAAATTCATTCATATGTATATTTTGTTTGACTTTTAATATATTTTTATTTGCTTTTAGGGTTTTAGATTCGGGAAAACATATGTACGTCTACAATGTATGAATCAACAGTTTATTTGTGTATTCATTCTATTTATATATCAAAAAGTTTTATATTTTTTATTTTTACATTGTATTTCAATCTCAATTAGTATACCAACATGTTTGTATTTCCTTCTTAATTTGTATCCGTCCTAACTGTATGATAACAATTTTATATTTCATTGGGTATTCATTCTGTATTTCAATCTCAATTTATATGTGAACAAGTTTGTATTTCTCTTTGTTTTTGTATTCTACCTAATTGTATATTAACAAGTTTTGTATTTTATGTGTCTATTTTACCTTTCAAAGTCATTTTGTATTTCAAATAAAGAGAGTTTTTCTTTTGTATTCACAACTTTATATTCAATCTCACTTTGTATTTATAACTTTGTATATTCATCTCATTTCTGTATTCATATATTGTTGTAATCAACATATAGTTCATGATCAATTAATTTGTATTTTACCTTTCAAAGTCACTTTGTATTTCAATTGAAGAAATATTTCTTTTTATATTCACAAATTTATATTCAATCTCACTTTGTATTTATAACGTTATATTTTCATCTCACTTTTTTATTCATGTATTGTTGTATTCAACATATAGTTCATGATCGATTAGTTACAATAACTTAATGGGATACAAATTATTGTATGCTTCAAACAGAAAAAACAGCTAAACTATAAAAAAAAAACAATTTCATTCGTTTTACATCATTATTTGGATACAAAATATCCGGAAAAAAACTATAAATATCAATACATACAAAGATTTCACTTATTCAATTAGAAAAAATACTCTTGTACTATACATATATGAATATCATACCCAAACAAAAAAAAAATCAAAAAAAAATACTTGAGTTTTTCAATTATTCACTAGATGTGACGAATTTATGGTAGTCAATTTTGAAACATTATGTTTCAAATATATGTCTTATTCAACTTGAAGAAGCTTTGAAAGTTATCAGATGAATGATCCGGAAGACAAACTAAATTATTTTAATTATTTTTCTTATGATCTTAAGAAGAAAGCAAAAAATAAAAAAACACTCGACAAAAAGATGACTCTTTTCAAAGCGTAACTAATTTGTGTTTAAAATCTTTTTTGCCTTTTCTGAAAATTTTTGTTCCATAATTTTCTCTGTTATTAATTATTTGTATTTTTTCAATTTAATTAAAATAAAATAAATACATAATTAAATCCTTAACAAACTAAAATATTGCTATTTTGAAAATTTTCCTAGATAAATTAGCTAAGTCATCAATATTCCTAACATAATTATTAAAAATATCTATAGTTTAAAATAATTGTTAATAATGTCAATATGTTAGCAAATAAAGTGTATCCTAATATATTTTATTTATCTTCCTTTTATTTCTCAATTTGACTTAATTTAAAAGAATTAAAAAAAAACTTTATTTCCCACTTTTCTCTCTCTCAATTTTTTACTCACATTCTCTCCTTTCTCTCACGATTTTTACTCATTTTTCTCACCTCAATTAAATTAAACATTTCCTTGTTAAATTAAAATTTCTCCATTTCTCTAAGAAATCTTAGTAATCATTCAAAAGATTTTCAACCTTGGATACAGGTAAATACATTGTCATGAAGTATTTCATACTTGTATTCTATTGTTCCATGTTTTTGTTTGAAGCTCTTTAGATATTTGTGTGTTCTTGTTTTTTTCAATCTCCCTACTTTTCAGTTAAGATTTCAAATAAAGGGAAAAACACAAAAGTTGCAATCTAATGTCTTGTTCAAAGGAAGTATAAGAAGTATCACATATAATCTCATCAACTTATGGAAATTTTACCTCTTTGATTTATGCGTTACTCAAGAATTATTCAACAATGTAGGTTGTGCGTAAAATGGTTTAAGAGATGAGTTCTAAATTTTTTCATGATTCTATCCGCATTCAAGTTCAAGATAGTAATGTCAGCAGGGTAAATACACTATTAATAAAAAGGAAAAAAAATTTGGGTGTAGAAGATTTCGAAAAACTTGTTGAATACCAAGTTGAGGAAGAAAGTTGTTTTATTAGTTTGTTTCACATTCATAGTTCTTTTTTAAAATTTATTATTCCTTCCTATTTGTATTCAGATCGCAATGTATGCTATCAATATTTGTATCTATTGAAAATCTCATGTTGCGTAGTTTATGAATTTTTTATTTGTCCCTAATTTGTATTTATTCATAGGAAGAACAACTTTCTATTAATTTATTTTAGTTTTTAGTTTTTTCTTCTAATTTTTGTATCCTTTCTCAATTCGTATTCAAACTAATATGCATGTTATTAATATTTGAATTCATTAAAAATCTCATATTGCATAGTTTGTGAATCTTTATTTGTTCCGAATTTATATTTATCTCAAAGGTAAATAAACTAGTTATGTATTTTACTAAGAATGATTGCAACAAATATTCTCGTATTCTTTTTCAATTTTATATTTCATTCTCACTTTTACATCATATTATTTTTATATTTTATACATCATTATATAAAATGCAATATAAAAACTAAAACGAATAGAGATACAAATAATATACATACTGAAATAATTACGACTTAGGAAATCTAAAGAGAAAAATAAATACACAGTGAAAAAATATACAAATCCAAATATGTTTCTTAAATAGCTACATATTTATTTGACATACATATTGGAATCAATACAAATTAATAAAGAAATACAAGTTATATTATACAAAATACAACATGAAAACTAGAATGAATATAAACACAAATGGTATACATATTGGAATGAATATGATTTTACGGTAGTTGTTCAAATTTGTAAATTAAAAAAAACAAAAATTCAATAGATAAAACTATAACGTAATATCATAAAGCTTCATAACAATAATTAGTGAAAATTGATAATTGAATTTTTTGATTCTGTGGTTTTCATCATAGTAATTAGTGAAAATTGGATATTGAAAATTTTATAGATATGGTTATTGTTTAATTCAGTGATTTTCATAACAATAATTAGTGAAAATTGAATATTTAGTTATTTAAATAAAAGTGTTTATAAATAAAAAAGATTAAGAAAATTGGATATTGAATTTTTTTAGAACAATGGTGAAATGCATGTTTTTTAGAACATGGTAAAAGAAGAAGAAAGAGATGGAAGTGACATACTTTGATAAATTGTAATGGATGAGAGTTTTAAGCATTTTTTTCCTTTTTAAAAATAATTTTCTCCCCGAAATTCCTCCAATCTATTATATAAAAAATGCATAACAAACTAAAATTTTGATATTTTTATTAAATTTTAAAAGTGTTACTGATGAACCCTCCTAAATGTTAAAATATTGACATTTTGAAAAATTTTCCTTGGTTAAAATCTCAACTCCTCCGCACTAATCCTTACCCCCACCCCATTACCCTATATACACTCTCGCCCTCAAATACTCTCTACACCAATATATGTACATTGTATGTACACTACGTAAATATTGATCCATTATATATATAGAGAGAGAGAGGGGGGAAAAATTATACAATAAAGCAAATTTATACTATTTAATTACTCATCATAGCTATAGTTTGCTATAATTACCACCGCGACTAACATTATACATTAATTGCATGAGTTGACTTCGAGTTTGTATAATTAGTCATGTTTGTGTGTGTGTGTGTGTATATATATATATATATAGGCTAAATTATTGCATATTATACATATGTATTTATATATTCTAGCAAATTATACATATACAAATGTGGCTAATTATATCAACTCGAAGTCAGCACACGTAATTAATGTATAATGTTAATCGTGAGTGATAATTATAGCAAACTATAACTATAATTAGTAATTAAGTAGTATAAATTTGCTTAACTGCGTAATTTTCTTTTTTTTTTAATACTCCGTCCAATCGAACTAGGATCCTAAATTGGATCAAAACGAGAATAACAAAATGCGGTGGGTGTACGTAGAAGGTTATAACAATCATCTATTTAGATAGTTTTCCCTTGAAAAGTTCACACACAAATTTGTATGTTGTATATCTTTAAGGTATATATTTTACGTGATTGTATATTCAAAAGATTTTATTAATTCAATGTTAGAAAAATATCTCTTCACTGAAGCAACAATTAAATGCATTTGTTAACATAATTTTAAAAGTAATAAATTGATAAATTTCAGATAAAAATAAGAGTTAGAATCAAAAATTCAATTCAAGAAGTTTATTGGTTGATACACCCTACTTTAATATGCTTATTGTAATGCTTGAAAATTTAAGAAAAAAATTATAATTAATTTTATTCAATACTTTTCGGCTATTGATTTTTATTTCATACAAGGTATTAGACTAATTTATCAAAGATTGAAAGAAAAAAGAGTACAAACAGACAACATGTGAGCAAGCAAAACAGCATTATCTTGATTTTTTTATTTGAAAAAAAGATTAAAGAGAATAAATTTTGAAAAAAAAGTATACTTTTTGGAGAAATTGTATGTAATAGCAAAATATCAATTCAAATTAAATGCTATAAATATAGTTTGATTTAATTGTACCCCATAACAAACTCTTGTTATTTCGCCTCTTTCCAGGTGAATCTCGCTCGCCACTCTTATTCTCTCCCTGCCTCTCTTGTTGTTTTATACAAATGCAAATGTATAAAATGTCTTTGTGTTTGTATAAAGCGAGACAAAATTTTATATATACATATATTTTCGTATCCCTCTCTACCCACTCCCAGACCTTGCTCGCCACTCTCCCAAATCTCGCTCGCACACTTGCCCCACTTTATACAAAATGCAAATGTATAAACTGAGTTTGTGTTTGTATAAAGCGAGAGAAAATTATATATATACATATATTTTTGTTCCCCTTTCCCAAATCTCGCTCGCCGCTCTCCCATATCTCGCTCGCTCACTCGCCTCTCTCACTTTATATAAACACAAATGTATACATTGTGTTTGTGTTTGTATAAAACGAGAGAAAATTGTAAATATAAATAAAAATGCATATATTTTTGCCCTATGGACTTACGATTATACAATGCACTTACGATTATACAAATACAAGGTTCCCTAACCCAAATTTTTTTTGTCTTTATCTCTTTCTCGCTTTATACAAACACAGATTATACAATTGATCTTTTGTATATGTATATTAGAACCGTCAAAATGAGCTGGTCCAACCCATCCCTAACGAGCTAGAGAGTTAAATTGGTTGGGGCAGACT